TTACATAACTGGTTTTGAGACAATACAGAAAGTGTAGATATATTCAGACAGCAAAATTATGCCATTATACTCAGATACAAAGGTAACAACATCACATCATATATGGATTAAGTATTTTATGGTTTTTTTTAAAGAAGCATCTGAAGCATGAAATTCTTTTCCATGGCTCTAATCCACTTCTCCCACAACTCTAACACATTTCTCCCATGAATGGTGACACAACAGCATCATCTCATTGGTGCCACCCAAAGAACTTTGACCCTATGTGGAAATGATGGTTCTTGACTGCAGTGGGATGTCATTTGCAGTTTAACAGAGGTTAGGTAAAGGATTTTATACTATTTCTTATCTCAACTGCTCTTATCTTTATTTATTGGAGGGGGAAAAAAAAAGTATGACTGACATATCTAAAGTTCTGGAACAGTTCTTGAAGGTAGGGGAAAAGATAAACTCAATGCTATTATGGGACAGAACCATAATGAGAAAAAAAAACTTCCCTGTCACCAGCAGTAAAGAGGAAAATGTCCAGGTGACTAAAACCTCTGAGGTCTGCATTGATGGAAATGCAGCAAATACAGTCTAGTTCTGACCAAATTCCCCGAGAAAGAACATTTTCTCCTTCAATAACAAAAACTATGGTTACTTGTCTAATTTCTGAACGTGTCAGAGATGAATTTAGAAGGCATAACCTCCAGTAGGTTTGTAGTAGGCAAGTGTTTGCAACTACAGCCAGGAAAATAATTGTGTGTTGTCTCTGTGCAGACCCACAGCACTTGCAGTTGTTGCTTAAGAACTCAAAAGGAAAATATAGTGATGGGGAGAAAAACAAAGAAAAAAGACAACAAAAAAAAACTCCCCAAAAGCCATGAACAAACCAAAATTCCAATAGAAGAATTGAATGGATACAACTCAAGTGCTTTTCTCTAGGTGAGGCCATTGGGAGGCAACAACCCATATCAGAGCATCACAAATGGCACCAAACTAAAAGTTAGCTATGAGACAGCTGTAATATGTATACTATTCAGTTTTGGAAAAAGAGGCAATCCAAACCAAACTATATCATGTAAAAATTCCAAATAAAACATTTCCAACTCTCTGCATAAAACTCATAAAATTTTTGTAATCAAAGTTTGTGCCTTTATTTTTCTTTCTTTTGTACAAAAATCCACCTATTTCTACAAGGGATGCTAGGTTTTATGGCTTTACATGTGCTGGAGAAAACTTAAAATTATATAGCGTTGTTTTGACAAAAAAAAAAGCACTGTTTTGACTAGCAACAAGTTTAATTCTTATAATTTTACAGGAGATATGTTCAAAAGTCAGCATGTGCATGTCGGGGAAAAATGTTTGATTCTGGTGTGATGATTAACTTCAATCATACAATGTCTTTACAAAAGAGTACCAGAATACACAATGCAAGGAAGTACTATTTTGCATAAAAGGAATTCCCATTCAAGCTGGAATCCTGGAATAAGCTGGTGTGAATATGCATCAATATTCAAGATCAGCAGCAAAAGCAACTGAGAAACTTGCTTTTGTCCTGTGGGATGTTGCATATGTCTTGAGATCTGCTGAATGCCTGGAGCTTTATGGAAGACACAGATATTTGCAGCATCAAGATCAATATTTTCTGTCCCCCCTTTCTTGCCTGAGGGCCACAGCATCACCAACACTGGAGTTAATTGTCCCTAAAATACTAAATACAGACCAACCTACGTTTGCTGAACAACAACAAAACTGTGGGCAATATCTGTTGCCTGATTAGCATGCTCTATTTGGCTTGGTCAAATAATGTCCAGTAGGTTATTTTTCTTTTATTGCTGAAAAAGCATTTAGTCAATAAATTTGTTTTGAGTAACATGAATGCTATTTGGGGTGGTTCTCACAACACAAGGGCCGATGAGGCATTCATTCCCAGTAGCTACTGTTGTTACTGGGGACGTTGTACTCTAGATAGTATAACTAGGACAGACTGTTCTTGGCTCTCATGTTTTATTTATTTATTTGTGAAGTCAAGGGTTTCATGGCAAAGGAAGTATGTTGCTTATAGGGAGTGGAAGTTTAAACAACGCAAATGTGCTTAATGCACTTCTCACAATGTGCATAAAGAGACCTTATTATTCTGCTTAGTCTAAACTGTGAAGAAAAGAGTTATCCCTGGAAAAGCGGGGTGTGAAGCTGGATAATTAAATTTCTTGTTCTGATGAAATTCTTGCATCATCTCTCATCTGCTAAACAGAAAAATGTAAAGATATCTAATTTTATCCTGATCTCCTTTTGTTCAAAGAACATCCTTTTAAAAAGCCCTAGAGAAAGAATATAGGCTCCACTGCAGAAGTACATGTTTAAGAAAAGTTTGTTTCAGGTTTTTTAATGTTTTTAACCACTATAAAGGAAGAGAAGACTCACAATGAAAAAGTCCTTACCTTTCACTTTCATCTGTAACTGCTGAAGGTATATTAATCATCCTGTTGATTAAAGCTATTCTGCTAAATAAGAATATTGTTTCCAAATCCTTTGTTCCATAAAGATTCTCAGGTCCCTCCTTCCTTCCAGTTTCTCCTGCAGTTGCAGCAAGGTATTTGTTTGATAAATCGAGCACTCTTTTGGTAAACAAGTTGAAAATTTCACCTTCTCCTGGCACAGCACAATCAGCACAGTTCCATCCTGGCAACATCAGTGAGAGGTGGCTCTCATTTGACACAAGTCCAAAAGAAACAGGACACTGAAGCCTCAGGATATCCAAGTGTCTCACACACAGATTGTCTGTTTCTTTATCTACGCCCCATGGTAGGAGACACGACAAAAGCAGCTTTGCTGCCTCAGTGGCGATGTTCACATCAATGTTTCCTGAGGTTTGCATCCCAATCTTTCTTGAACTCTTCATTTTTTTCTGTCTTTTCATGCCACCGCTTTCTTCCACAGGCCTGGGTGCATTATTACCCCTACAGACCTGGTTTGAACAAACAGTATCTCCCTGCCCATCCACTGCAGGTGTGGAGCCAGCAGTTTTGTTTCTTTTCAGTGTCAGTGCCCTTTTCTCAGCAGTACTTTTAGCTCTTTCTAGAGTGTGCTGGTTGTGGAAGGATTTCGATGACTTTAATCCATCAAGTTGAGATGACAGCAGAAGTTCCTCAAGTTTTTCCAGATCAAATAAGAGAACATGAAAGTTTGCATTGTTCCATTTCGTCTTAACTGGTAAAATAGTAAAGGGCTGTTGGATGCAGCTGGTATCAGTTAGCTGAAAGAAAAATATTAAATGTCCAAACACAAATCCAGAGCACTTTGTAATTTTCAAGATATGAACACAGAATTGCCAATGGAATAGATGAAATCTGTTAACTCTGTTGGAATAGATGAAATCTATTAACTCTATTAAGTTCAATTCAGTTATATTTATTCACTTGTTACTAAGGAAAAAAAGATTTGCTTCTAAATAGCTTAACATACACAGAGATATGCACATGTAAAGGGTACAACACCAGCTTGAATTTATCTTTACAAAAACTCTAGGCTGGTGTTTCTTCTACTAAGTCTCATTTCAAGCTAAAAGACTTCTTGGAAAGTTTTAAAGCATACAGCTTTTGTTTTTACAAAATAAAGCTAGGGAAGCAAACCCTATGATGTTGCAAAATTCTTGCACACCCCAAATGTCTGTAATGCCTTGTTACAATTTGATATGTGTATGGGATGAAGACCATGCCTTTTGCCATTTCAAAACATGCAAAGCTATCTAAAACTGAGTTAAGTCACACATACTTTATCAGCAACAATAAGGAACTTATGTGTATAAATCTCCATTTACAAAATTAATTACCCTAGCTGAAAATAATTGAGAGGAAAAGGCTACAGAGCTACTACAATGTTTGTGAACAACTCACTTCACCTTGTGCCACCCCATTTTCAACCTGGATCTTTCTAAAATTCTCCATACTTCTTCCCCAACTTTAAAGTCCTTTCTCAGGGTTTGTAGAGCATCATTTCAGTTCTACATACAAACATGATAATTGTGCTGGTATAAATACACATGGCTGATTACTGATGCTAATAAATGCCCAAAGAAAACAGTTTTTGAAACTTCCTAAAATCTGGCAGAAATAAAGATTTGAGAACGGCTACAGTTACTAAACAACTTTAGACTGACACATTAACTTAATTATGAACCGTAGTAGTGTCAGTTGAAACACAACAGGAAATGTTCCAAATTATCTTCACTTTTTTTTCCTCAGTTTTATTCATGTAGTTTCATTTTTTAAATGATAAATCATCATTAAGAACAAAATTTTACATATTTTCTTTTTCCAATACCCTTGGCATGGGGTAGATACTGGCAAACTCCAGTGGAAGGGATGTCTTTGGACACTTTAAAAACCAGCTTCTTATACTGATATCACAGAAGAATTTGGCCACAGAAATGCCCCTCAAAAACAATCTGCCCTGGACATCACAGGCTTAGACAGAACATAGTCCAAACATGCAAAGAGAATATAATATTTGAGAAGATAAACTGCAACAAGGAAGTCTCCTCTATTACAGCATAAACTCCACAGATCAGATACTCCAGAAGTAGAACTGGGGAAAGAAGGAAGAAGCAAGGATAAACACAGGAATGAAGAAAAATAATTCATATAAAGCTACGTTAATGGAGGATACATGAAGGCAGCAATAAGAGGGGGAAATTACAAAATCTGTCCTGTATTTGTTGGGATATTTCTCTACATGGAAAACATTCCATACTGGCTTTTCCCCCACTCCCAGTTTCCCATGAACACCTCAGGAGAGTTTGTCTGTTTTGGCTCCCTGTGCTACCTCATACCTGAGAGTCTTTAAGGAGTGGAAACATGGCACATCACCTCAGATCCCACATTCCAACCAAGATCCACTTAGAATAGTGGACTTTCCACTTTACACATCTTCAAATTCAGAAGAAAAGCATTTCCCGCTCCTGTTGCCCTTTTCCCCATGCAATTTTCTGTGCCTGTGCACTCTCAGAATGACAGAATTTTTATGACACAGTTTCTACAGGCTTTGGAAAGAAGACAAAACTTACTGTGGGGGCACAATAAAGTATCAGACCCTTTCGCTGCTTCCTTACTGTTTTTTTTTCCTTTGTTATAAAAGGCCTAAATCTACATACCAACCAATGAAGAGTCTGCAAGATAAAAATACTAGTGTACAATTCATGACAAGTATTCAGATTTTAAAAGGATAATATTAATTTTTCAATAAGACCAATTTCCTAAGGGGGAAAACATGAAAAATGTCATTTGGAACAAACATTTTGCACAATACTAAAAAAAAAATAGCAGAAACTGAACTAAATTACAGGGCTGAATCTGATAAATTTGTTTTATAAAGACAAAACCCTACATTTTTTGTCCAAGAAGGAGGCTCCAGATGAGTTTGTAGAACAACTACTTTCTTTCACAAGAATCATCATGCTGCACCACCACACAGCATTCCACGAAGGCACCTGCTGGATCATCTGAGGGTACAGTTATGATTACAACACCTTGTATCATAATCCTGACTATATCTAGTAAAGAAGTATCTTTTACCTTCAGGAAAATACCAGAAGTGAGGGAGTGTAAACTCCTTGTTGACACTTCTGCCCTTTTCTTTAAGCATTTATGACTTGGATGTTTCTGTTGTCCTGCACAAGCTCGTGCTCCCAGCACTGTGCTCAGTCTCCTTCTCATTCCCAAGCAAACACGTACAAACAGGAAGAACAACATCAAGAAGCAACTTTTTAGCTCAGTAATACTTCTGCAAACCATCATGCCAGCTTCCATATCACAAGTGACTACGTTAGTTTTAATTTCCTAGATAATTTGAAATATTCCACTTACGCAAGGAACTTTCTGTTGAAAATAGACAAATCTTAAAAGAAACCAGCAAGTGTTAGTAAATAGGGCAGCTTGAACTGGAATGCAATGTTGATTACATCTTCTTTCTCATGACTACTCCTTACCTAACTCCTTTTACATTACAAACTATGGTTTTAGAGCATTAGCTATTTTTAAATTGTTAATATTGTAGTAAGAATAACACAAGGAAAGAATCGACTCTCTAACCTCTAGTTATTTGGCTATTTAGTTTTGGGCAGTAATATAATTTGGCTTTTTTTGTTATTTAGAGAATGATGCTCCCACCAGATGAGGATGCACTCTAAATACATAATCTCATTTGAAGATCTCCATAGGGAGTCATAAGTAAGAGATTATAACTGCTTGTTCAGGTTTTCTTTTTATCCCTTTCCTTTTTCCTTTTTTAAAAAATAACATGTTGTAGCTAAGCACTAGGATTATTTTAATCTTTAATTATGCTGTTTCCTAATACATAGGGAAAACCTCATGGAATGCAAACACTGGAATTCACAGGCTACCTTTGACATTCATAGAAGCTATTATAATTTAGCCTATCATTTCCTCTCTATATACACTTATATTTGGCTGATTAACATTTAAAAGCCTTCAGTAAAATCACCATCCTAACAAAGGGAAATACCATGACAATGTCAATCTATTGAGACATCTGGTGATGCTCCTGCATGTAAAGTCACAATAGATGTTTATGGTTTATTGGCAATATGAAAGCTTATTGACGTTGATCCTAAAAGCATCTATCAAGTTATCTCAGCTCTCTGGCACAGGCATTTCATTCCAGTGAAAGAAGGTGGACATCTAAAGCTTTAGACATAAAATGCTATTTAGGAAATATGGACAAATTATTTTATGTAACAGAAGATGACAGAAAAAGGAGGGAAACCCATAAAACTAACTACAAACTGGAGAGGTGGGAATAGCATTTGAAGGTGGATATTGAAAAGCAGATATTTACATTATGTATTGTACCCTTCCCTTTTCTAGTTTAACCATTTCTAATTTTAAACTTTATTTTTGACGTGGACTGTAAGCTTTAAAAAAGCCAGAAGTCTGGCTGCAGACTAAAATGTCCTGAGATTCATGAGCCTCTTGTGCATCACTGACCAGTAGAAGAACAAACTTTCTAAATCCAGGCCAGAGCAGGATGCAGGGAGTCTTTGAAAGGCCAAGCTATATTCCATGCATGGCAACTATCTCCTAACATCTCCCTGGTTTGCCACTGAAGATGTTTAAGCCAGGATCAGACAGGAGCTTGAACAGGATAGACTGTGTCAGTTGGAAGGGACCCACAGTGATCATCTAGTCCAACTACCTGACCAGCTCAGGCCTCCTGCTGTTAAGGACATTGTCCAAATGCCCATTAACCACTCACAGGCTTGGGGCATTGAACACCCCCCAGGAAACCTGTTCCGGTGCTTGACCACCCTCTGGTAAAACAATGCCCAGTCTAAACCTCCTGACACAGCTTTGAACCATTCCCACGTGTCCTATCACCAGATAACAGGGAGATGATCTCAGCACCTCTCCTCAGGAAGCCATAGAGTGTGGGAGCCCAAACCCAGCTTTCAGCAAAAGGAAAACAAGGGCTGGCAAAAACCTCATGATCTGAAGGAGCTGGACCCTTCTCACAAGACCTGTTAAAGTTCTACCTCATGGATTAAGCCTGGCTCCAGCAGAAATCAGAAAGGACTTTTTGAGATGATTGTATCAGACCATGTCTAAACCCCTGTAATTCCTCTATCCCCCATGTAATCCTACTAGAAGAAAAATTAACTATTTGGAAACTACAGCAAAAATTTGTGTAACTCCCCAATTAACATGGCCTCTCCCCTTCATTAAAACGTCCAGCCAGAGATGCCTTTAAATTGTGTTCTCGTGCCCAATAAAGCATTCCAGTTCCCCCAAACTGGGATCGTTTCTAGTTTTTATTTTACAGACCGCCACTATAGAGCGCAATGAGGCCACCTCTCAGCCTCCTTTTCTCCAAACTAAACAAGTCCAAGGAGCTAAGAAGATTCCTTTTAGCCCTTTCACCAGTTTTCCCCCTCCTCTGCACACATTCAAGGACCTTCCCATTTTTCAGGGATGGGGCAACAAACTTAGAAGACCCACTTGAATTGATTCCTTCTGGCATGTAATTCATCACTGCTCTACAAGCTACAAGCCTGTTCTTCTATCTCTTTTCTTCCTTTACTCATTTTTACCTTAGCATCCAAGGAAAAATTTCCCTCTCTCTGTGGGAAAGGGGCAGCAGGGGGGCAGTGCTGTGGCCCCCAACCACACCAATATATGCCATTATCTTTAACAGGTTTAAGACAGACATATCACATAAAAATTTCATGGGAAGTACAATTCA